GCAATGAAGATGTATCAATCTCCTGACCTGATACTCTGGCTCAGTCTAGCCAAAGACACAGCTTTCAAGTCATATACGTATCTTGTAGTCTTAAACTACAATCTAGATTTGTCCTGGCCCTGTGCCTTTTGGAACAAGGAGATCTGTTAGAGATCTTGCTATATGGACGTCGGAGTAGATGTGCTGGCTCAGATCAAAGATGCATCTAACTCAATATCCTGTCTCACATAATGTCAGTAGCAAATATCTAGTGCAGAAGACCATGGCAAGCCCATGGTGATGCTTTCTAAGGYCCTTCCAACTCATGGCAATATGCTGCTGAAGACCTCCTGAGTTGTGGGTCCTACCCACATCCTTGCGTGTAATAACCCTTGATGGACTTTTCAGTGTCATTAGTTGCTATTTGAAGCAATTTGTGCTTTTGGCTTCTTCAACATCCTATGGCAATAAGTTCTACCACTTAATTATGTGCTGCTTAGCAATATAACCACAAATCATAATAGCCTTTAATTATAATAAAAGCCATGAGTTTGGATAAGATCGCCAATGCAGATAAAGTCRGCATAATTACAACTATGTATTATGTCTGCAGCAGTGGGTGTCTCTTTTCAGACCAAAGTGCAAGGAATGCATGTGACATTAGTTCAGGATTTTTCAACGCTCAGCTGCCCAATGGCATGTGCTTCAACCGGGATTGGTTTATATGGAGTTATCCATCTGTTTTCTTTTTCCCAGGGTGGTCGGGAAAGGTTTATGCGTCTTTGCCAACTGCTTTGGTCTTTTGCCTTTAAGGAAAAAGGTCAGGAAAAATGGAAGGGTTTTGTTTGACTTATGCTTCTTGGACAGTCTGCAAAGGCTAGAGGAGCAACTCTGTTTCTCCCTGTAGTTGTGTTTTGAACCTACCCCATGGTAGTTCAGCCTAGAAAGACTTCCATGTGAAAGCAAGCATATTCTTATTATTTGGAGGCCACAGTGAAAATCTGTGTCTGTTGGAGAACTGTGCTGGGACATGCACGTCTGGTTAGGTCCTTACTGGAGGGTAAAGAAGAGMATGAGTCTGTTTCCAAGGCCAGGCTACCTTGCCCACCAATTATCTCTGAGCAAACCCCTGTTATCAAGTGCTAACTGSAGGAAGAGAGTTCAGAGAAGCTCTGGATTCCACCCATGCTCGCTTAGCCATAGCCTGAGAGGTCTGTTCCCTTTCCACCAGTGTGTCCTCCTGGAGACTGCTCGCAGGAGGACCTCCATCATCGGAGCAACACGAGCAGAGGATTTCCTCTGGAGTTTAGCCTTCAGATAGGAGGGGACATGTTCTGCATCCTCAAGGTAGTTCTGAGACCTAGATCTGATCTGCTTCCTGGCATTGCCACCTCCCCCCAAGCTGACCTCTGGAGTGAAAGCGGTAGAGCTCATACAATTCTGCAATGTCTTCTGATTTAAAAAGGAAAAGCCTTTTGGTTTCTCTGGGTGTTTGTCACCGCTCCTTCCTGAGAGTTTCTCTGAGCTGTCTTCTGAAGTGAGTTTTGAGGAGAAGAAAGGGGATCTGATTGCTCAATCTTTCTGGCTAAGTAAAATCATCTGCACTGTTAAATTCTCCAGGAGATGTACAGTTCTCTGCTTGTCAGGCTGGGATATTAAATTAACCAATTTTCATCAGATAACGCATCTTCTGGTTTATGTAAAATGCCAAGAAAATCGCTGCGCTCATAATTCAACCTGATTGAAAGAGATCTGCTAATCCATTTCACTTGGAGAAACTGAGGAGCCATCTCCGCCAGGATTCCCGCTTGCAGCCATGCACGTGCATGTCCCCGCTCTGGGCTCTTGTCCCCTGCCCACGTCCCCCTGCAARGTCAGGGAGGTAGAGCTGCCCTCCATCAGGAGATGCTTCCAGTGCTGCATGTTGTGGCCTGGATTGGCTGTTGCTTCAGGAATCCTCTTAAGMTCTAGACCCTGTGGGGAAATTGTCCTGCCTTGGTTCTCCTGTTGTGGAGGAGGATCTACAATGCGGACGAGCAGCATCTGCTCAAGTGCAGGGTTTGTCACCGTCACTCCTCTGGTGCTCCTGTCTCATCCACAGAGCACATATTCAGGCATTCAGAATTCACCTTAAAACATTCCGGTTGTCATTTTCAACAGCAATGACATCAATAATGGCAGGGGATGTTTCTCACTTGCTTACTGCTGCTGCTCCATAGACTCACGTCATTCCAGCCACTCCAACCGGGAGATCTTGACTATTCCCCTTTCTTTTTTAATTAAAGCTGAGCTATCCTGTAATTACAGGACTCCAGAAGCTGGGGTTTGAAGAAAAACAAAACTGTCCAGAGTCATGAGGTTCAGGAAAGGCACAGGGCTTCTTTCACAGCTCCTCACTGAAGGAGCCTTTCATTAACAGCCCTGGGAAGAGCTCTTTTAACGACATCAGGTGACTCGTGTGCTTTGACTTTCTGGACACGCGTGGGTCACTGGGGACTCCATGTTATGTTCTTCTGTAAACATCCAGGGCAATGGCATGGCTGGGCAATAGGGACAGTCTCACTGGGACATATCTCTGTTATCCGGGGTGGAAAATGTCCATCTTCCAGAGCCAGAGGCAGCTTCGTACTTCTCCAAGGCGATTAGCAACGTGGACGTGAGCGCATCCATTAAAGCCAAGCATCTGTGGATGACCACATCATTACCAAGGGCTCGGGAAACCCTCGAGCGGGGCTGACAGGAGATGTTCCCGTGCCCTCCCGCTGCTTGCAGAGCCATTGCTGCAAATCCCGTGACCTTCTTGCTCGCTTGCTCCTGCTGCTCCGCAGCAAGCAGCAGCCCTGCGCCAAGGGACGGGGCTGGACCTGGCTGCACAGGGGTGCTCTGCATTGCTCCAGTACTGCAATATATATATATTTATATAGTTGCAACTGAACTTTGGATGTTTTATTTATAAATAATAAAAGCAAGCAGTTTGTTGTCCTTTCTATATCCAGATTTGAGTTCTGAGCATCTTGCTGCTTTCACAGCCATTCGCAGATCTCCTTCGTGGCTCCTTCCCCAGGAGCCTCTGGTCCCGTTTCACTAGTGGCCACATGCCCTTTGCTCGTTGTGCATGTTGCAGGCGCAACCTGGATCATGGCATGATGCTCTACTGCCTGAGAAAATCATAACCTATGATTCCTACCAAATGTCTCCTTTGGGTCCTCCATCCTTAAAACCTCTTGGAAATCCCATAAAACTTCCTCAGAGACAAACTAGGAGGAYTTTTGTTCGTCTGGGACTGGATTTAATCTGTTGTGTCCTTTATCAGCTATTCTGGAAAGAACATGGGGTGGAAACAGTCAGGCCCTTGGCAAGTGCTGCCCTCCTCCAGCTCTGATATCAGGGACATTGGTAGTTGGGTCAGTCCCAACAGCTCCGTTTGGATTTGCCATTGACTATTAATTGAAGAGTAAATTAACCTTCCTCAGACTGTATGTTGGGGTGATTATGGATGCAAATATGTTATTAGTGACTGTAAAAAATGAAAATAAAAGCCCAGTTGGACTCACATTATTGCCAAGAGATTACATGCCAGCATTTAAAAAACTGGCAGTGTTTCCACAAAGGGACTTTTGTCGCATAATACTCTATCTGCTGGAATAATCRCTTTAAAAATTGGCAGTGTCCCTCAGCTAGCGCAGCCTCTAACTTACGATTTTGCTTTTATCTTGTGTTTTGGCAGCTACTTGAAGCAATATCTCTGCCATTTGCAGGCTGGGGGACCTTTTGTTTTTATTCAGCAAAGTACCAGCTCTGCAAGCGACAGATTTCTCCACTCAGCATCTTTGGGACACCCATCGATCACTGACAGGGAATTTAAATAAGAGGAGGGTGACTTGGAAAATAAACTTTGCACATTCGACTGACGAAGTGGGAAACATCCGCTGCTGGCCCATCTCCACTGGCTTTGGTGGAGTTATGCCAGCACAGAGCTTGGCCCGGCATCTTCCAAGTCATTATTCTTTCATTGGTTATTTGCTAGAGCATATTGAAAGCTTGAGTTTCACATCTGCTGCCTCATGGACTCTCTTTTTTGTTGCTACAAACACACTGCTTTTATGCTTGGCTTTCCCAAGGCCTCGTCTGCAAAGCCTGGTTTAGCTGTGAACACTTTTCTTGTGAACCACGGGCCACGTGCACACAGGTACATACAGGGTTTCTTGCTCTGGAGATCCTTCCCAGCAATATGTTTATGTGGTTGGAAAAAAATACAAATGCAGAAAAACTTATTCTGAAGGGAAGTCAGAGAAATAGCTTTATTATTATTATTATTAAAAACCCCCCAAATTAGGAGGTAAAATGTTAACATTATAAGCAGTGTCTTGGTTAGTGGGGTCAGTGTTTACCTGACCCAAAATTAGGAACCAGCGATGCCAATGGAGTTCTGTAATCACCTCCCTGCCTTCCTAGGACCTCAGTTAACAAAAACGAAGCCACAAAATKTTGAAAATTTGGGTTCTAAGTGCCTATCTTTTCTTTACACGTGCAAGGAGGAACGGTCTAGCCATGCAGCCAACATGCAACACAAGGCAGAGGTAGCTACGGGACCTGAGAGCTTCCAGGCAGAAAGTATTCCTTCTTGCATCCCATGTACAAAAGATAGTTGGTCGTGGACCTTCCAAAGAGGAAGAGAACAGGGGAAAAAGGTGCTCGGTCAACATTATTTTGAAGGATGGATGTTCACCAGTAACCTTAACAATGTGTTTGGCAGCAAGATAATCTCCCTAGAGATGTCTGCACGGTCACATCTGCAAAGGGCAGGCACCAGCAAGAGTCCTTGGGTGCACATTCATGGTGGCCAGCAATAAAGGTGACCCAACCCCCCTGATCCTCTGCTAACAGAGTGACTTGTAAGCACTTTTGGGCAGGCTTATCCCTCCTTTGCAATGGGAGGGTGGATTTGGCTGTAAATTTCTTCCAGCTGGGAAGTTGGAGAAAACACTGATAAGCTCTGCCTGCCCTCCCACCCCCTCAGCTGAGAGCCATACATTCAGTACAGGTAACTGGAGGTACTAGCTCCTTTTCTTCTGCTTTTAGGGCATATGGAATATATTGTGGTCTGAGGGGAAATCTCTCTTAAGAATTTCCTCTGTGCCTTTTTCAGGAGCATTCCAGTGTGGATTGCAGCAGGTGTCTCAAAATCTGTAGGTTCCCTCTTCCCCCTGGTGCATTTTGAATGGGCTACATGATGGGTTAGAGTGGGATGGAAAAGCTGTGTTGTGCCAAGCTCCACGCAAATCACCTCCAAGTCTTTGCAGTGGGTGTTAAAGGTTTGGGTGAGACTAGAAATGGAAATTCCCAAATTACCAAAAAAGGGAGATGTGGATATTCAGCTAGGGAAGAATGAGAGAACATCAGAGATTTGTCTGGAAAAATCTGCTSCTATGAAGAATCTGATTCTAGACAATGATTAGTGGTTTATATAATGTGTTCYTTATCCTCCGTTGTCTGAGGAATAAACCCAAGACACCCCATAGCAAGCGGGTTTGCCCTGCAACATACCTGGGCAAACTCTAATTATGACTAGTTTTTAGTTCTTAAGTAGTTTTCACTCATATATATATGTATATTTGGCGTTAGTAGCAATTTAACTACTCTCAGAAGGTTTGCCTATTGCTTTTGTTCAATATTAGACAGCACCTTCCAAAAGGYCCCAATGCCTGAAGGTGCAGGAGAAATACGCTTCTTTTGCAATTCACTTTGGATAGGACACTGGATCAAGCTGAAAAATCAGCTCTTCAAGACTCATCTGTTAGGGATAATGGGAACTTAACCTCCTAGGTTAATGGGAACTCCGAGTTGAGATAAAAATCTGCATGTTGACCCATGAGGGTGAATTATGAACTATATGGAAAAGCACAGACCCAGGCATCTTCCAGGAAAAATGCTGCATGTTGGAAAGTGAACAGGGAGGCTTGGGAAGCAAATYGGGAAAGACAGCCCGTTCTTCCCATTGGAAGATTTGGGACCGACTGCAGGTTTAGGATGGGTATTTCCAAAATGTTTTCCCATGCGGAGGAGTTTTCTCCAGTGAAGTTTTCACCACTGAGCTGAGCAGGCCCTGATTTATTGCTCTTGGAGGTTGCAGGATAACGGAGTTGGATTAGGTTTCAAGTCAACCTTGGATGCAAAGGCAGGACTCTAAATTCAAGCTAGACCTGTGCCTGTCAGGCTTTCCCTCTGCCTTGGTGACTCCCTGCTGATATGCAGCATTTTCTACCAACTCAGTCTTAATCAAGCCCATCACAAATTCAGGAGCAGCCTTTTGCAGAGTCCAGTCAGGGGTGTGATGAATGTGGCTGAGCCCATACCCTGGGGTGTAGGAAGCTCAGCCCTGATGTCAGTGGGTGACCCTCCAGTTGTTTTTTTTCCATATATTCTCCCTCTTTTTTCTCTAAACTCTGTATTTGGGAGATTCAGATGCTTATGGGCATTATTCTAGGTTTCTTGGATGTCTTACCAAAGATGAAGGTGGAAGACTTTTGTCTTGCCAAGGGATTAGAAATCATGTGTGGCAATAGGGCATCACCATGGACTTACTGACCCGGGCAAATGTGAGATACGGCCATGCTTGAGGGGAGCACTTCCTGGGTCACTCTCCTCATCTATCCACCCATGTTCTGGCTGTCCAGGCTCCATTCGTGACCAGTGGGGAGTGACCAGCACCTCCAGAGACACTCTTACCCAGTTATTCCCCAGGTCTGAGTGGAAAGAAAGACCCTCTGAAGCATTTGTCCCTTAATACTTTCTATAGGTGTGCCTGGGGACACCAAGCATTCGAACCACTGATGGGCAAAGCTGGGCACAGTAGTTCCCAGCTAGTAGCTGACTCATCGTAGTCCGCTTACAAGTTTAGACATTGACTGGATGTAGCACTTCCAAACTAGGTTATGAACACCTCCCTCTTAGGTCTTCTGGCTCCTAAAATCCTTCAGCTCCATTTGAGTTTCCTCCTAATAACCTCTCACTTGGAGACTTAGGTGAACTTGCTGTGTGGATTTGTTGAGAAACTAAAGAAATTTAAAAGCTGAGGAGGCGTTGAGCATACACAGGTGCAAGAGATGCCTGAGAAGGTAGCAAAGTGCAATGTGAATATCTCGCCACCCTGGCAGTGAGCCGTTCTTAATGGGTCAGGCAGTGGAGGTGTAGAGAAATCAATAGAGTTTGCTCATGGCTTAGTCTAAGCAGGGTCTCTGCGGATCCACCATTACTTGCAGATTTGCCTGATTTGTGGTGCTGTTTTTCTCAAAAAAAAATATTGTTTTTGTCTTGGCAGGGGAATGATACTTTTATTAAAAGTTTTCTCAGGTTTAGCTGTTGGGAAGGCCACGGTTTGCTCGGTAGCTGCAAGAGAACTGACGTCTAGTAGGATGCATGGTACTTGGCATTTTTTTGTGTGTGTGCTATGAAATATCTGAGTGAGCAGAAAAGAGGTGTCACACACCTAATACACGAGGTATAGGTMGAGTCCTATAGGTAGAGACTCATAGAGCTACAGGTTCTCATTCTCAACCCAATTTGATGACCGATACAGAAAATCTTATGACCACTCACACTGCAGCGCGAAGAAGCAACATGCGTCCTCTTCTCACCCCAGGTATGAAAGGCCACGTGTTCTCCACCTCTCAGCCTCTGATCTGCAAATACACCCCTGCATTTTATCCCTCTTTCTATTTCTTTCCATTTTTCTTTATGGGAGTGGAGGTGGTCTCAAGGACTACAACCTGATTCCCTCAGAGGAGGTTGCCAAATGCAATCCAGGGATCATTAAACGTAATAGAAAGGAATTGAGAGGAATCAAGTGGCCTGAAGAGCAAATAGGAGGGAATTCCTGGCTGGGTCTGCCCAGCTAGTGGATGCTCTGGCTTGCTCTGGATGACCATGGAGGTCACTCCAAAGCCTCATCATGTTAGTAATATATTGCGTTACAAAGCTGGTACGAATTCTTATGCCTCTCATTAACAATGTTTTTTATATACTTCCTTATCAGCTAGAACAACAAGATGCATTTAAAGTAGAACTTCAAATCCCCGCTTTGGCCACAGGCTTGGCCACCCAAGAGTGTATAGTGAAGCTTCCTATTTGTATATTGGAGCCTTCTATTTGGCCTGTGGCTTTGAGTCTGTTAGCACTCGGGGCAGAGCAAAGGAGAGAAAACATTTCAGTTCAGCTCACAGAGAAATGAGCAGCAATAAAGCTGCCTTTTTGGATGACATAGAAAATAAGTGGCAATATTTTCAGGCCAAAAAGTGCTCTATTCAATGCAAAGTGGGGATTTAATTTGAATTCAAGAAGCTTAAGGGTAGTTTTTTGAAGGAAGTAGGGAGACAGTTTAAACTAAACTGCAATTAAAGTTTTTGCTTTCAAACAGCAAAACAAATTGTTTGGGTTTTCTCCATTGTTGACTTTGCCAGATTATTTGTATTTAAAAAAAAAATTATGGAATGGTTCCCTGTGATTGAATTTCTGCTTGTTTAACTTCAAAATAAAACTGCGGCCAAAAAAAGTAATTTAGCCCTAATCCAGATCAAATTAATAAAACTGAGTTTGCTCCATGTGTGCAGCAGCCACACAAACAAGGGCGATCTTCTGCAGGTAGACTGATGGGATCTGATATGAATTCAGGGCTTTTATTGGTCTTGTAAGAATGTTTTATAGAAATAGCATAAAACCAGAACAAATTATCTAGGAGAAAACAGCTCTTAAACCTAGGCTGCTCTTAAGCAGGGAGAGTTTGCTAAAGGTTTTTAGCTCCTCCATCTCGTGAAAATGGACCATGGCACTAAAAGTCCCTCCATATCTGGGTTGGAGCCTCAACCTTTTCGTGCAGTGCAGTGGGTTTGCATTTCTTATCACCATGCGTGTCTCCATGGGCAGGTCTCCTTTACAAAAGGCTGAGCTGGTTTTACTCCTATTTTACCTCTTCTTTGTTTTCCTCCTTAGCCAGAGTGGATCTGCAAGGAGCAGAGCTGCTGGCATTGGGTTTCCTGGGACTTCATGTCTTGTCATTGGATAACCGTATGCCTAACACAGAGTGAGTTCTGATGGAAACATGTCCTGAGGCTGAGGCCTTCCTGATATTCCCCCTCCCATGCGTGTTTCCCAATGGGGAGCTGCAGCCTTTCCCAAAGAAGCCAGCAGGACAGCATTTCTCCTTCATCTGCCTGCCTATGGCTGTGAATGTTCATCAGTCTTTAAGGGTTTTGAGGTTGTTTCTGCACAAGTCGAGTGAAAAGGACTGGTGGATTGCGAATGATATTGCTGGAGGGAACTGAGCAATGTACGTGAGGACAGTCGGATTCCTTATGGAGTGAATGGAGTGAATCAGTTGGGGATGGCAATTGAACCTGGTGTGCTCTATCCCACGGGAAAGCTATTTGGGAAAGCTCCTGTAGACAGTGGAGGTGGTGCGAATATAGGGAAGGACTGGAACTACAGCAGGATTTAGCCCTCTGTATGACAGCACATGATGTGATGAAGCAGGGACTGTTCTGGCCAATGGCTGGGGTGAAGTAGAGGCTATTCTATAAACTGGACGCATTCTTTGGCATGATAATTAATGACTGTATTAAGTGTTGGCCACTTTTCCTCAGTGCCTCCTCAAAGCGAATTGCTYGGAGTTCGTGACTTGCTTCCACCTGTCTGCACCATTTTCCCTGCAACAAATTAGCAGAAACATTCCTTATCTCCTTTGGAAGCTTTGATGCTCGCCAATAACTCTGCCGTGTGGAGCAGGAGACTCTTGATCTTGGTGCCCTTGGAAATCCATAGGCTAAAAGCTGCCCCTTTGTGCATCCTGCCTGGAGAGCCGCCTTCCTTCCAGCAGCTGGAGGAGGAGGGCGGATGGGAGGAAGATGAATGTGGGGCAGCCGGGCAGGCTGCGTGCTGACAGCAGCCACCGGCGTCCCCGCGGGGACCGTGGCACCTCGTGTGTTTTGACACGGAACGGGCCGCTCTGCTGCTAAGAGGCTGTCGGACACGGTGTTTGTCAGCGGTGGGAGGGAGAGGGGGGGTTAGAGATGCAGAGGCGCTTGGATGTGGAGTGACAAATGCTGGGATCGATACGTGGATGTTTTATTGCTCCCGGGAGGCTGCAGGTCTGCTCGCCCTGGAGAGGCTCCTCGCGCTGCTCCTGTCCTGCCGCGCCCTGCGGGAAGCAGGCTGGAGAACCAAACGTAGCCGCTCCAGTTGTGTGTTTCAGCTGGCATTTGGGAAGGTGGGAGCTGGGCTGGCTTTTTAGACAGTGGGATATCAGTGCTGACAGCCTGCTTGCTCGACTCSTTGAGGAAAAGGGTATTGCCTCTTGGATACCACCCTTGTTCCTTAGAGAGAGATCTTCAGCATGTCTGCAAAACACTTTTGCTCTTTTGCCCTTTTTTATTTTTTCCCTCCTGCTAAAATCCCCATTAAGGAAACAACAGGTTGGATCAATGCAGAAGCGTCTCCCAAATTCCCTCCACAGGGAGAGTGGGAAGTCAGCAATCAATAGAGGGCTCATAGGCCTATGCAGCTGGCTTGCTGGAAGTAATTCTTGCAAGGAGTTGCCCCACATTTCCTTAGGATGAGCCTCAGAGTGGCTGTGGGGAGCAGGATGCCTGGGGAGACCTCCAGCCCTTGGCCAGGACCTTGCATGTGTTGGTGTTTGAGGCTCTGGTGCTTTGTCTTCTGGTACAYGCAACTTGGAAACCAGAGGTTTCTCCCTGGCTCTCCAACCAGCGTCTGTCCCATTGCCACCACCTGAGTGGTCAACTCTGCTAGTCAAGTCCTCCATGATGGAGGAGCCCAGGGGCCTTGCCCATGAGCAGACTGAAGTTATGTTGTAAAATATGAACTGCTCTCCTCCCTGGTGGCCGCTGAGACTGCAGAACACCTGGCTGCAGGTTGGCATCAGCCACCTCTTTACCCTGTGGGCTAGGAGTGGTGGGTAGGTATGGTCATAGAGGGGGGACTTGGGCAACTATCTCACTCCCAGTAAAAGCAAAGCAAGTTGGATGCTCCTCAACACCTATTTAATGTCTTGACCATCCCTTTGCCCCTTACCTACGAGATGTTCCTGGCTAATGGATGGGGAAATTGAGGTGCTCCTTGAGAACCAGTAAAATGGCAGAGGTGGATTCAGATTGTCATCCTCYCAGAGTGGCAGAGGTAAATCCAGATCTTCTTCCCAGGCTAAGAACTAGATTGGAGTCCTTTGGTGAGACCTGGTGTGAAGGCAGCAGACCCTGCACATAACCCAGGTAAAGTTATGTACATAAGGAAGCTCTTATGTGGGGATTCCCACGTAAGGAGAAAAGCCCCTGGAGGGTGRTGGAGATCTTGCATGGACTTGGGTATCCTCGTTCTTACTCTGAGGAAAACTGGGGACCCTTTAAGGGCCATCAGACAGGGTGTGCAGGTCTCTTTGCACTCGCTTAAAGAAGGAACATTTCCATGATTCCAAGTCTTTGCCTTGGCAAAGAAGGGGTTTACCTCCCTGCAAGCTTGTACTCTGCTGTCTTCCCTCTAACCTGCATTCTCAGGCCTGACCTAGACACAGCACCCACCTTGGGCCCCAAGAGTGGGCTGTCCCTACTCTCCCTGCTCCCAGCCCAGCCTGAAGATGAAGGCAAAGTTGGCTCTAGCTCCTAAGGCCCCAGCCATGCCAACGCCGGCCTCTTGGCCCAGCCATGAGCAGGGACTCCACAGAGGTGGCCAACACACTCGGAGTCACGCGAGCCCTCTGAGCAAACTCGCCATTGCTCTGGAGCGGCTGCGTTGCTTTCCCTCCCACACCCGGCAGACCAAAAAGACACCGTGACTCACTCCTTTTCCACAGGCAGCTTTGCCAGTTCTTGAAATACTTTATGTTTTTCTTAGAGTCCTGGCTTCTGGAGCCATGTAATTACTTGAACTTTCATTTTCTTTAAATAAAGCCAATTTCTTACACTCGTATTTGCAAAGAATAGCCAGAAAATGTGACTTCTTATGAGTTCAGAAACCACACAGTGAGAACCCCACCTTTGTTCTTCCTTCTTATTATGTGTTTTTTTTTTCTCAATCTATATCGTATTTTTCACAATCCAGTCTTGCGTTTTGGAGGCTGCTGGAACTCTTTTCTCTAATCCTTGACTTCTGTGCTGTTACAAACAAATCTTGGCTTTGTGTCTTGGTGGTGTTGACATCTTGGGTCTATCCACTTGAGTTTGTTGTCAATATTTTCCTCTAGGTGAGTTTTGTATGGATGGGGCAGTGAAAGTGAGTAGGAAGGTAGGTTCTAGCAGGACTGAAGATGCTCTTTCTCCCCACCCATAGATGTAATAAGAATAAAAATCACAAGTAAACCTTGCGAGCTCTGATTCAGGGAGCACTYCAGAACTTCCTGCTCTCTATGTGGCTATGGGCAATGCAAATTTGGCTTCAGATTTTCAGTACATGAAGTGGTATTTGCTTTGTCTTCTGTRGTCTAAAAGTTTGGCTTTTAGTTCAAGCTGGTCTTCTAAGCTCCATCCAAGCTCAGGGGAGAAAAGGAAGCATGTTCCAAGGGTGATTCAGCCCATCTCAAGGGACGTGCTTTAGATGGGATGTATTGTGCATTAGGAAAGCTGCGCTTTAACCTTTAATTTTGAGGGTGTCTGCGTAACTCTCAGTCTAACCAATGACCTTGATATTTTGTGTTAAGTGAGATAAAGAAGTTCATTTGCTACTGGGACGTGCTCTGGAGGAGCAGTGCTGCCTGGTGATGGAGAGGCAACCCTCCTGGTCCCGTTAAAGTAAGAAACATCAGGAGTACATACAGGATGGAGATCCTATAAAATGATTCAGCCCTCGGCAATTCTCCAGTTGGAGCTTTTGCTTTATTGGCCATTGGAGACTGTAGACACGAGACACAAAAGCAGTTTTACTGCTTCTGCAGCTGAATGAACTGCCTTTTTTTTTTTTTTAACTATTTTCCTTTCTCTGTTYATGAGCTTTGAAAATTTGTCTTCTGTCCTCAGCCCTTACAAAATAGCAGCTAAAGTCCAYGTGTTTGAGAATTGATCTCTTTATTTTAACAGCAAGCCCTGATGCTCCCAGGCAAATGAGAAGCGCAATGTGGTAAATCGGACATCCTGAAATGCATACTTTTTTGAGGCCAGGAAGCTAGCTTTTTTAGGAGTATCTATCAATGCATTGGCCGAAGTCACATGCTCCAAGTGAGACCTACAAACCTGGAAAAGATTAAATAATCCCTGAATGAAATTCAAGAATTGGTCATTCGGTCTACAGGACCTTTTATGAACAGCACTGTAACACCAAACTGTCATAGAAGCACTGCTATCCAGGCCATTGGTTTTCCCGACTGGTTTTCCCATTCCAAGAGGATGACTTGGATTTCAGGGAGAAAGTGCTGGTTGGTCTCCGCTTAGCTTGAAGAATAGGCATAAACGCAAGCTTTTATTTACACTTGTCTTGCTTCTGCAAGACACCGGAGGTATCCAGGAGGAGGAATCACTGGAGGCTGGAGACCATCTTGCCATGAAGCAGCCAAAGCTTAGGAGACCACACGAGAGAGATTCCTCTGCCTTTATCCAAACCCAGCTTGGTTCAGATCTGCAAAGGGAAAACCCCAAGTTTTCTCAACTTTTGTTTTCCATGTTCCCAAGCAACTACTTTAAGCAAGATTGCCCTCGCTGCAACTATAGGAGGGATGAAGAAATAGATGTGGGAGGATGTGCATCCAAACCACACTAAGAATTCAGAAGTCCTCAGGAAGAAGGAAGAGAAGGGATAAAAGCAGAAAGCACAGGCTGGTGCTGTATTTCTTCATTAGGAAGACCAGTATCRGCTTTTTTGGCATTATAAAATGTCTTGGAATAAGGCATTTCCATAGTGGTACCTGGCAGCTGCTGGATGGATTCTGTCTATGACCCCAAGCCGTGGGTTGTGTATGCATCTTCCACCCACCACAAAGGCCCCAATCTAGCCTGTTAATAGGGAGATTTAATAAAGATACGCATTCACTGACCTGCAATTCATGCTGAAGCAGTCAAGCACCTTCCACTTGGTTTTTATGTGGTTTTAAATGCTTTTTAGAAGTATCTGTTTATTACAGCTCAATAAAGTTTTATTTTGCGAAAAACCATGATTGATTTCCTCTGCTTCAACCAACAAACAGCCAACCTCCCCAGCTAGCACCTCCTCCCCGATTCATAAAAATGTGTTAACAATTCATTTAAAATTCATATACAAGCCAGGCACAGTTTATTCATGAAGTTACACAAATTAATACAAAGCAGCACACTGCCTAGGCCTGGCATGGAGTCAACGCGTGCTTTGACAGCCTCCCTCTGCTGCACAATGTGTCCATGTGTTCTTGGAAGCTGCCCTCATGCCTGGTGGTGCAGGAATCAGCAGATACCGTTTYGAGTTCCCCTCCTTCCCCTGCCCAYCGCTGGCAACTGGCTTTGCTCTGCAGGTCCTGCTGAAACATGARGCAGAGCAAGGCAAGGAAAACCTGCATGGACCTTCGTGTGGGTCAAAGCCCATGCGTCCTCCAAAAGGTGCATTCAAGAGTTGGCTTRCACGTGCTCTGCTGAGAGCTAAATCTATGTTTTCTGCTGTGCAGGTACCTACGTCGTGGCTTTGCGAACCTGGGAAGCAAAGGAGTGGTCTGGTGGCTGCGGATTGCAATTTATATTGTGAGTCTACTGGTAGAAAAGAAGAGCTCCAAGGGAGAGACCTCTGCTTAAAATGACATCCCTTGAGTGCCCCGAGCAAGGCACAGGTATGTGGCTTTAGTAGTGGCATTTAGTCTGAAAAACAACTTTTCTTTCTGTGTGTTTCGAAACAAGGTGAGGAGGGCAAGAAATGATGTGTCTGCTCCATGTGTCATCGGTCAAAAAAGCCACAACATCAGATTCCTCTGTTTCTTCCCCATCAGCTTGGCTTGTGAGTTCCTCATCCAGGTTGTTGCTGTCCTTTGAAGATGACTGTTTCCTTAGTGGGATTTYCCAGCCCTAATCCAGGCTCACCTGTGCATGTCCCACCAGCCTCTCCCCAGCTGGAACAGGTGTCACAGTGGGTGCAGGTAAAAGCAGGTGGCTTTGACCATCCTGCTGTTGCTGCTGATGGATGCAGGTTTGCCTTGGCATTAGGTCTCCACYTCTTTTTTTCTGCTCCTGAAGGTGCAGCTCCCTTAGGCTTGGCAGAGGTGGGACTCTACCAGGGCYCTGAGGGCTGTCATCAGCTTTAACTGTCCTGAATGGTGTCACTTGGAGCTTCCACCACCACCACTCATGGGACCAGGAGGCATATTTAGACACAGTCCTGGCCTGTATTGTAGATACAATCTTGCCTTCTGGATGGCTCTGAGATTTATGCTAYAGGTAGCTTGTTTCCAGCCCTTTCTGCTGGATGGACACCTTGCAAAGTGTATTGGAGTTTTGAATTCAGTCCTACCTCTGGCCCTGTCTTCTGGTCTGGGGTGGACCCTGGAGCTGCTTCATTGCTTGTCTCAGGCTGTCAGTGGACCTTGCTGGGTTTAGATTCTCTAGGATAGCTCCCTGTTGGTGTGACATTGCTCTTGGCTCCAGCTTGTCCCCTCTCTGAACATGCTTGCAGAGCTGTGCCCAGGCTGGAGTCCAGGTGCCAGGGCACCACGGGCAGCTGATGCAGGGGTGAGTCTGCATGGCACTTCAGAGCACGCAGTGTTGCATCTCCTTCTCCCTAAGTGTGATGGAAATAGTCACGCTGGTAGTTGTAATAAGGGGGGATTTATTAAAACACACAGGTTCTTGCCGTTAATGTTCCCTTTGCAACGCCTGCAACTGCAGTTTTTACCTATCAGCAGAGAAGAATTTAAACTCAAAACTTTTTCCTATAAATAATATTTTGATTAGTGCTTAGGGCTAGACTGTCTCTTGGTAAGATCCTTGCTGAGCTGCGAAATCTAGACTGATTCATAGCAGCTGAAGACCTACCAAGATAGCATATGTGTCTGTTTAAGTACCTGTGGAGCTCTGTTCCTCCTCTTTCCTTTCTTCGAGGGAGAGGCAAGCCAAGGAAGGCTGTGCTGAAAGGGGCAGGCTAGGGTCTCTCCCTCAGCTTTGATGCAGCACCAGCTCCATGGGAGGCCCAAGTGAATTGCTGCAGGAGACCATGCCTCTTTGGGAGGCAGAGCAGGGCTTCCAATGTGCTGGGAGAAATCCATCTTCCTAAATAACCAGCCTCAGAAGCAACAGAAAGAAAAGTGTGCAATCAGGTGGGACTTGAGAAAACACCCTTTCCTCTCCATTGCCCATGTCCAAGCAGAAGTGCTTGGGTCCATGGAGAACCTCAGCTGTCAGTTGATGTTATTAATAAGTTGTCAGCCTTGATTCCTCTGGCTCAGCGAGGGTCACTGGTCACGGTGTCAGTGGCCCCAGTGGAGGCAGGGAAYCCCTTCCCAAAGGGAGGCCAATGAGGATGAGTTGATAGATGCAGCAAGAGCCACCTGAGCCGAGAGCTGCCCCTCRGGAGGGACAGAGGTGGAAGAGCTTGTGATTCCTCACACTGCTCCAGAGGGACCTGGGAGAATTGCGGCTGACGGTGTCAAACACACTGTGCTTGCTCCAACTCCCACCTCCAGTGGCCTCTTACCTAAAGTGCTTCCTTCTGCCCAGTAGCTGAGTGCCGTCACACCAGGGAGGTCCTGGGGCCCATTCTCTCCGGAGCATCCACCGCTCCCAGGGCTGGTGATGGAAGTGCTATGGTCAGACTTGAGCGCGGTGATCCAAGTGCTGTGGTCAGACCTGAGCTCAGAGGCTGTCTCCAAGGTTCTCCAGGCAGTAGCCAGGATAACAGCAATGGATTGCTGCTCCAGGTCCCCAGGTCTACCAGCTGGAGAGGGGCAGTCCTTGACAAAGTGCCTGGTCTTGTCAGTGGTGAAACATTGGTGGAGTTTGACCCTAGTGCATTCTGGATGAGCTGTGAGCTCACGGGAAATCCTTGGCTTCGGCTTCAAAACCTCCTGCGCTTCTGGGCAAGGCTGAGCACAGCCTGGAGTTTTGCAAGCTCACTCGCTAACTGGAGAACAGACCTGAGCAAAAAAGTCCCTGGGGGAACATTCAGATAGTTTCAAGCAAGATAAATCCACTGTGTGTAGGAGAGATGCGGGAATAAGGAGGGAGACATTTCATCAGCTTCAGCTGGCTTAAAAAATAAGGGTTTCGTGTAGCTGTTTTCAATCTTTTTATTATTCCCTCCCTCCCTCCCTCCCTCCCTCCCTCC